GATCGGTAGAGGAACCAAAAGTTCGGGGGTGGACAGAACCCCCAACAGTGACACGTCGATTAGTGAATTGTCCGTTTTCGGTTCCCGAGAGGGCGCCGTGGCCGTTATTTCCCAGGCTTGCGCCCGCCAGGTTTGGGCCTCAGGTCGCTTTCACTAAACCACGTTTTGCTAAAAGGGCTTCTGTCCATCCCCGAGAAGTGTCACAAACAAAAAACTCGGAGGTCCGCGCTGCGCGCGCCAGGGAGGGGGGGTCCAGCGCGGATCCGAGAAATCCGCGTGGACCTCAGAGTTTTTATGTTCACGTGACTTTTGTTCCCCTAAGCGGGCGGGCCGCCAATTTGGGCATCAAAATCGGAAGCCCCCACATGGGGTGGCGACCGCACCGTGCGGCGAGTCGGCGGGGACTGGGAGGCACCGCGCGGTGCGGGGAGTCGGGTCGTTCTCCGAGGACGTCTCGGGTGATAGGGGCCTTTAGGGTCCCAAGACCGTGCGGTGACGGACCGTGGGGGGAGGTCTTGGGGGATGTCGAGGTCACCGCACGGTCCGTCACCGCATCGTTTCGTGACTCCAAAGGATCGGGCGGGCCGCCGGCAGGGGACCACCAGAATACATGATCACATCTTCTGGGAGGTCCGCGCAGGGTTCTTGGGTTACGTCGGGCCTGGCCCTCTACAGGAGGAATATTCAACAATTGTCAAAAACTAGCTTGGCGAAGGACCCGACCATGTGCAGCTGTGAGTACCGCAATTATGAATATCATCTTCGCCCGCGCTCCCTATGTGGCCACGGCTTCCCGCCGGAGCCCGACATGCTCAGGAACACGGTCGTGGCCGTCTTCGCGGGCGCCAGCGACGACAAGGACGGCGTCTTTCTGACCGAGGAGCAGAAGCAGGAGAGGGCTTTGAGAGCCATGAGGGAGGAGGTGTCGGTGCGCGTCGAGAAGGTGGAGTACGACGCCCAGGCGCGGTTGTTGGAGCAGCACAACTATGGGGCCACGATCCTCGTGAGGGGTGTGCCGAAATGGCCCCGGGCCGCCATGGGAACCCTGCCACTGGGGGCCTTCGGTGGTGCTACTGGCACCTTCGGTGGAGCTCCTACGGGGCCGCGAAACTTGTGAGGGGTGTGCCGAAATGGCCCGGGGCCGCCATGCGCACTTTGCTACTGACGCCATCGGTGGAGCCCCTACGGGGCCATTATCCTCGTGAGGGGTGTGCCGGAATGGCCCGAGGCCGCCATGCGCACTTTGCCACCGGCGCCTTCGGTGGAGCTCCGATGGGGCCACGATCCTCGTGAGGGTTGTGCCGAAATGGCCCGAGGCCGCCGTGCGCACTTTGCCACTGGCGCCTTCGGTGGAGCTCCTATGGGGCCACGATCCTCGTGATGGGGTATGCCGAAATGGCCCGGGGCCGCCACGCGCACTTTGCTACTAGCGCCTTCGGTGGAGCTCCAATGGGGCCGCGAAGCTCGTGAGGGGTGTGCCGACATGGCCCGAGGCCGCCGCGCGCACTTTGCTACTGGCGCCATCGGTGGAGCTCCCATGGGGCCACGATCCTCATGAGGGGTGTGCCGAAATGGCCCGAGGCCGCCATGCGCACTTTGCTACTGGCGCTTTTCGATGGAGCTCCGTTGGGGCCACGATCCTCGTGAGGGGTGTGCCGAAATGGGCCGAGGCCGCCATGCGCACTTTGCTACTGGCGCCTTCGGTTGAGTTCCGGTGGGGGCAAGGTTTTCGTGAAGGGGTTTGCCGAAATTGTCCGAAGCCGCCATGCGCACTTTGCTACTGGCGCCTTCGGTGGAGCTCCTATGGGGCCACGATCCTCGTGAGGAGTGTGCCGAAATGGCCCGAGGCCGCCGTGCGCACCTTGCTACTGGCGCCTTCGGTGGAGCTCCAATGGGGCCACGGTCCTTGTGAGGGATGATGATGAGGATGATGATGGCGATGATGCGAGGAGGAGGGAGGGGGCAGCGGGGGGAGGAAGGAACGCGGGGCGCTGTCTCTTCAAAACGAGGACCCAACACCACAGGATGGTTGGGAAATCATCAGGGTGTAATGTTTATAGCATTATTGTTTTTATTTGGGCATTTTTTGAATATTGATAATTTTCCGTCCAAGATCCGCTTAGAGGGGGGGCATGTCCGACATCACTTTTGGGTCGGAGCGCGGATTGGGCTGGATTGGATCGAAGAAGCAATGACGCGACCCAGCCTCTGGCTGGGTCGCGTCCTTTTCATGATGGCCCCGCCAGGCCAACCCGAGTCCCACGAAACCGAGTCGTACGTCCCCCCCGATACTGACACAGAGAAGGCGTGGCTTCACCGAGGTCCCATCTGTGCACTAGAACGGGTAATTCTGAGCATTCTGGTGCGATGCACCTGCCAGAAAGGACCCCGTATCCCCAATGCTTGCGACCCTCCTATATTTAGGTCCCCGTCCAAAGGGTCAGGGGTTTATTTTTGGCTACTCACCGGCAGGGGGACAAACAACGATATAATCACATCAATTCGGAGGTCCGCACAGAGTTTTTGGGTCGGAGCGCGGATTGGGTCGGATCGGATCGAAGACACAACGGCACAGGCACACCAACTCGGAGGTCCCCTCCTCACCCCCTGGCGCGCGAAGCGCGCCAACTGCGGCGCCGCAGGCGCCGCCAGCAAAACCCCAGGACCGATCCATGGACTACGCTATGTCTTTGTTTTTTCTTGGCAGATCCCCCGACCTCTTGGCAGTCGGCTCACGGTAGGGTTGCGTCGTGTCGACGCGGCGCCGACGCCAACGCGGGCGTTCAAGTCCCAGGTAATTTCTCGCCCCAGAATATCAGGTCGTTCGGAGAAGAGAGACACGGGGACGCACGCCCAGAGCTGCGGTGGCGGCTGGACGATCGGGCGGGTCGCAGATCCGTCATGGGCTCAACGACGCCTGCTGTCCTTCGACTGGCGCTAGAACAGTTTTCATTTGCTGCAATGTTCTAGGAGATCTGTTGGATATACTTGGATTTACCTGGGTCGACTCAGATTTACATGGGTTTACGCTGCGTATTGTGCATCTGCCTTGGTTTATCCGATTCGATCTCCACAAGGCGGCTGGCGAAACGTTGTCAAGCCCCAGGACAGGCCCCGACGTCTTGTGGCGGTCTGCTTACGGCAGGTTTGCGCCGTGCCGACGCGCCGACGACGCCATCGCGGGCGTTCGAGGTGGAGCGCAGCCGGTGGCACGGCGTCGGCGAGGGAGAGTGCGCCGACCGTGGCAGGTTGGCGGATGCGTGCGGCGTCAGGGGCCAACGCCGAGGGCGTCACGACGCGAGCTTGCCGCAGGCCAATCAAGGGTGGTTCTCTGATGGGATAGTTTTCCACCACCACCACCATAACTTGGATGGGGGGAAGGAGGAGGAGGACGAGGAGGACGAGGAGGAGGAGGAGGGGGAGGAGGAGGAGGAGGGGGAGGAGGAGGAGGGGGAGGAGGAGGAGGAAGAGGAAGAGGATCTCCAACTTATGGTGGTGCTGGTGGAAAACAGGCCCATCATTCTCCTCCTCGGGCATCTGGCGCCTCGGAGCCGGTTTGTCGGTTCTTCGCCTCCTCCAGGAACCAGGCTCGCCTCGGGCCTCGGGGCCGTCAGCCAATCGGGGCTCGGGACGAGAAGCTGGCCCTGCCTGCTTTGACCGTCGGGTGGGTGTAAGTGCGGTAAGAGCGTTGTATATCAGATGAAATCGTTTCAACGAAGATGTATGTAGGTTCATGCTTGTTGATCTCACATATTCAATATACATAAAATTTCGAAATTACCATTCATCTACTTAACCTTTGGTTATATATGTAGTTTCAACAACATACCATCCATACTACTCACAAACCCATCCATATTATTAACTGAGCTATCGAGTACCACTGCCAATATATAGCGATACATACACCTCAACATTTCCAACTTAGCAGCTAAGTCAGCTAAGTCGATGTGGGCTGTCTGATTCGGTTAACATGAAATTTGCATAACTTTCTATGTTTTTCATGTTTGTTTCTTGATATTGCTATGTTTCTTTGAAAAAACAACAAAAACAACGTTTTAACAACTACAACACGGCAGTTGTTCAGGACAAGGCGCCGCAGGTCGACGCGCCGAGCCGCCCTCAGGACGCCTGCGGGGCGCGGAGGGGGGGGGGAGAGGGAGAGGGGGGGATCACCTATTCTTCAAACTGCCTCCCCTCGGCGGCCATCACCGCCTCCCCTCTCCTCGCCTCGCTGTCGGCGGCCAGCCCGCCCCCACTCCCTCCTGCCGCCTTCCCTCCCCGAACCCGCCTTCCTTCTTCGGCGGCATATCCGCCCCTCCCCCCTGCACCTCTCTACCGAAGGGCGGCATATCCGCCAGCGGCATATCCGCTCTCGCATGCGCGCGTTTATGTTATTTTTATTTCACGCGGCGGCGAGCACGTAGCCATCGTCCTGTAGTCGCCGATAAGCCGCCCAGGCTGGCGGGATCAGTTCGGCGGGCATCGCGGCGACGTCGCCGCGCGGCCGCCACAGGGACGCGCCTGGGCATGGCGCGCGCACCCATTCCAGGGTCTCCGCCAGCAGGTAGCTGGCGGCGCCAGCCTGCGCGCAGCAATGCACGATGTACGTTTCGCCGTCTCCCAGGAGAAAATCCTGAGGGCAGCGGCGCCTCGATTTTTTGGGGGCGCACGCATGTGCACCCCTAAATACAAAGGTTGGTTGCGCCGTCTGTCCTGGCTGCCGTGCATCTGGCCGTCGGTCGACGCCTCTCTGCTGGTCCACCTTTCAGCCCTGCGGAGGGGTTCCTCCTCCTCCTCCTCCTCCTCCTCCTCCTCCTCCTCCTCCTCCTGGCGGCAAGCCGCCTTCGCGGCAAACCGCCTTCCCCTCTCCCCTCCCGTCCTCCTCCACAAAAGGGCAGGCAAGGTTGCGCCCCGAGCGCCCGAACGTACTCTCCAGCTCTGGCGTGCGCCACGCTTTGGCGCGGGGGCGCGGCGCCTCCTTCGCTTCCTCCAGGAAG